TATATATATATATATATATATATATATATATATATGTGTGTGTGTGTGTGTGTGTGTGTGTGCGTGAGTGTGTGCGAGTGTGTGTGATGTAAAATGTCCCAACTTTAAGAAAAACAAACCTTATCGCCAAAATTTTTATGTTATTATTAAGAGGAAAGAGAAAAGGTATTTTGATTATTAATTTATATTTGTTAATCCTTTTTAGAACTTGAAATTTTTGTTAGAAGACACAGTGATTCGGAAATTCTTGCGAAAATCAAATATTTTTATAACAATTTTAATAAAGCTTTCAGGACTTATTCACAAGCGAATGAAATTATTTTAGAAATCTTTATTTTTCAGAAAATTTGTTAAAAATATTTTTTACATTAGTTATCCAACCTACACTTGCTCAATTTTATGAAATTTCGAGAAATTAATTTCTCGAAATTTCCCTAAAATCAATTTTGTTACGCTTAATGTTTACATTAGTTATAAGCTAAAGTCCTTGGAGAATTTATATCATCAATTTGTTTTTGTCAAGCAGAACCCCAGTCACAGAACATTTGCTCTGAATCGTAAAATAAAAAAATGAAATAAAATAAAACAAAAACTAAGACATGATTTAATTAGAAAACTCTTTAATTGGTTTTATGAATATTATATATTGTGGCCATTGTTTTCTTAAGAAAAATATATTTCGATGAATAATTAATTTTAGAAGATTTCTTTAAATTTATAAAAAAAAAATAATTTATAAAGTTTTAAATCTTTTAAAATTCTGTATTAATTTATGTCAGTTAGGTGATATAGTTATTAATTAAGAACTATATTTACTAATCCAAAATGGAAAAGCTCACTATATTTCAGCGAGCTCCTGTATTTTAAAAATAATAGCAGTAAATTTAAAGCCAAAATTCCTAAAATTCAATATAACATTAGATTTCTGAGAATTTTTTCCTAAATTTTTAAGATTACCTGTTACAATTTATATGAAATGGCACTCACGTTACATTCATCAAGTAAATTTTGCAGATATGTTCCAAAAAATTTCAAACAGATGTCTATCGAGACAGTTATCAACACCTGATATTAACATCTATTCGAGTTAATAACTATTTTTCTGCGACATTTTAAACTAAAAGTAAATAATATTTGTTTCAGATCAGATTAATTAAACTTTAAATCAGCTAATCTTCCTCAGATAAAGCTTCAGTAAAGTATATTTTATTTTTTATGGATTTTTATAATAAAGAGTATCTGCTGTGTTGACAAATTCGCTAATACGGTTGCTTTTTTTTTTAGCAATTTGTTGATTTAATTTAAATTTGGTTTGAAATACAGCAAAGTATTTTGTTTATTGGAAATATTAAATTTAATATATTAACCTATTATTTCATGTAATCTATTGAGTTAATTTAAAAATCAAAATAAGCATTAATTTCCTGATTAGGAAGTTTTAGTTTGTTTCGAATTCTAAAATCACTTAATCTAATTATTGACAGCAGCAAAGAATTCTTGAAATTTTGTTCAATCAATCGAGATCACATTTTAATCACTGAAAATGCTTGTTCACGCCGGTGTGTCGTCTCGAAATTGTAGATAGAATTCTGAGAAAACATTTCTTAGTTCTACAAAATGTTCGAAGGGTAAATGACTTACTAATAATTAATGAATCATATCAGAAGCATTTCAGTTTGAAGGAGGTTCATTAAATTTAATTTTCAACAATGAATTTGTTTTCAACAATTTCTATCTGTGTATTACTTGGCTTCTTTGTAATTTTTATTCCTAAAAGAAAATGGGTTCATGACTTCAAACTCTTCACATTTTGTCCATTTTTCTTTGAATAAACAATAAATAAATTACAACCTTTTTACATAAGATTCTTGATTGTTAGCAAAAATCCCATTATAAACATCCACGCGGATATGTTTGATAGAATTTCATGAAGGAATAAGTAAATGGTAAAATTGCCAAGTATACGTAAATTCTACAAACATTTCCAAATACTTTTTTGGTTTGTAACAGACGCAAAATTAGCAATTAGCACCGAAGAATTCTAGAGGTGTGTTCAAGTGAACACACATTCAATTTCTCTTCAGTCAAACATTGCGAAATGTCCTGAGGAGATTTGGCATTGTAAAAAAAAATGCATGTGTTTCCTAAAGTTACTATATGTTGGACACACTTATTTCTACTTGTCTCGCATCGTCAATCAGTAGAGATTCGTTTCCGATTCTGTCATTTCTGGAAGACGAGTCAATATTTTACAAGAGTTGCCTTCCGTAGTAAAAATAAAAGCTTTGGTTACTGAGTAAAAAGAGAAAAATGCTGGAAGTGTGAATGTACCAAACTTAAACGGCAGGATGGTTGTTTAATGTTGTTGATGACAGGCATCTGGTTTGAATAGGCGAACTCAGAGAAAGGACATGAGAAAGAGAAAGGAAAAAGGTGAGGAGGCAAAATCTGGTAGAAAAAGATGGAGAGAAAGAACAAACGCGTGTGTAAGAAAGAGGACGAAAAAAAAAAGGAAGATATAAAAGAAAAAATATATAAACACTTCGGCTTACAAAGTATTTTTATCGAATGTAGAAAATATGTATATACGTATTTAGGGCATACTTCATGGCTGAGAGAGTTGCATATTCGCAAGGGTCTCCTACTGTGAAGTATCACTAATAGTGAAGATAGAAACATATTCAGTTGGATATAATATCCTGGTCAAATGCGTTTCCTGTCACTTCACTGTGTGACGACATTGAGTTATAAAGTTCGTTAGTCAGGATTACTACGTCAGTGTTACTTGTGAAGTACCGTATTTGACGGCATATAAGGCGCACTTTTTTTTTTTTTTTACTAGAAATGACTTTAAAAATCCCCCTGCGTCTTATATGCCATATGTAGGTTTAAAATTCGAGATAGTCGACCGAAATTAGCTACCTGACAACTCCTATTAGCTTAGACTTAAACATGAAGGAGCAATGGAACACGTGGATGGCAATGCCTGATCACGTCCTTACAGGAAGAATAAAAAGCAATTGTTGTGAAATCTTTAAAACAAGAAATTGTTGTGAAATCTTTTAAAAAGTGTGACATTAGCAATGCTCTCAATGGAACAAAAGATGACGCATTATTTAACGACGATGATAATAGTATTGAAAATGAGTATCAGGGTTTTGATAACGAAGACGACAAATTTTATGGATTTCAAGATGAATAAAATTTTAATGATAACTGTAATAATTGATTGTTTTTTATTTTTTTTTATAGGCTCGTGTTCTTTTTTTCCTATTATTTTTCATTTAATTGTAATAAATGGCTTGTTTAACCAAAATAATACCTCGTAAATATAGCCTAAACTGTACCATTTACTAATAATTTTACTATTTTTACTAATTGCTAATTTTTTCTTGATTTTCCTTGCTGAAATAACGGTGCGTCTTATATACCAGTGCGTCTTATATGTCGTCAAATACGGTAATTCTCAGTGAGTTGTTCTCATGGAATTGCTGTTGGTAAAGGTAATGTGAAAGCCGCTGCTTCTTCTTGTCTCTTTTTATACTATTGTTCCTCTAATACAAAACTCAAGAGATACTCAAGGCAGAGGGTTGCTGAATGAAATTATTTTAAGTGCATAGAAGGAAGAAGGGTTCATATCATGAAGATACGTAGAATAGATGACTGTTGACGCTAGACTTGAAGAGGTTAAGATTAGAGTGATCGGGGAAGCATCCTCTCGGGAGTTTGTTCAACAAAAAGATACTTTTGGGAATAAGCTGCCAGAATGGAAGTTCCTCCCTAGCGAAGGAATAGGAAGAAAATGAAGATTAATAGAAACAGTGTATGTGACATGGTGGTTCATAGCTTGAAGCCTTGAATTGGTTAAAGCAAAGAATCTATTTCTGTGGGAAAGAGGTTGCAGTATCACGGTTGGACAGTGCTTTCAATACGCCCTGTGAGTATCGAATTCTCCAAGTACTCCTTTCTCATTGTGTGCTCGAGTTTTAAGTTTTCTCTTTCTAATTCTGTATATAAGTGTCCATTTTGTTTCCATTTTCCTTAAGACACTTTCATTGTTTAAACACTCCGATCACCGTATTCACAAGATCTTTCTTTTGAATTAGATCTCTGCTGCTTCCAGTTTTTTCATCTTTGAGGAGAAATACTTTGTCTAATATTCAAGCCATATTGAAGGATTGATATTACACAGGAGTTCAGTACCATTTTCTTTGTTTCTCACGAAATTTCTGTTTCTTTGTACTTTTCATAGTTTTGGAAGGCATCTTTGTCTATTCCAATAAACAATCGTTACGAAGTGCTATAAGATGTGGCGACCACAATCACCCACGTTCTGAAAGGACACGGCATATAGAAGAAGAAGAAGGACGGGAAACCTCGTGAGCAGTCAAACAACGCATTTGTAGAATATGTATTGAAAATAGAACATTTTACATCATAACAACACAAGGCTAAAATGAAGTAGACACCTTGTTGAGACACGGGCAGATTTTTTATTTACTCAAAATTGAACGAGGCGTTGAAAGTTCCATATTTCCATCCAGTGTCGATGTTGAAGTCGTGCGCAGTTGAATGAAAAGTTAAGCAAAAACTTTTAGTGATGGAATGGAAAATTGAAAAAAAAAACGGCCAGAAAATTGTGTTGCAATAAATGGTGAGTATATTGAAAAATAAAATTGTAATTTTGAATAGAAATAAATTCAGTTCATTTTAAGACCAGCTTCTTTTTGTTAATGGTCTAAAATTTATTTTATAAGATCGGAAAACATATCAATCAGCCGTTATATACCTAGCGTCAATGGTCGGTGTTCGATTTATGGTAAAAGTAAATTTCAAATGCTGACTTTTGAAGCAGACAGGCTGGGAAAGCACAATTTTCTCCTTGTGTCAGACGAAGATGGACTGAGTAAATCTTTAAGCAAAGAAAATGAGAAGAGATGCAAGGGAAAAGGGAAGAGAAGTACAAACAATAAAAGGTTTAGAGATGCGAAGAATGAAGATCACATGCAGAAATGAAGAAGAACAAAAAGATCATAGCGAGAGTGAGAGAGATTGTAAGAGGGAAGGATAAATAGATGAAAGGGGAAGGAAGGACTGATAAATAATACTGAGTGATTGGAGAGAGAACAAAGTGATGTAAAACAGAGGCGGGAAATAGAGAAAGAAAGATAGGTTATAAGATAACAAAAACTAAGGAGAAAGAAAGGTAGCGGAAAAATGTTTATTGGGAGAGTAGGTGAAGGAAGAAATGAATAAATAAAGTAACGAATAAAAAGGTATAAAAATGGAATGAAGAAAGGAGGTACAATTCAAGGAGATGGGGAGAGAAAGAGGGAGTTTGGAGAAAGAAAGAAAGAAAGCAAGAAAGCAAGAAAGAAAGAAAGAAAGAAAAAAAAGAAAGAAAGAAGATTACATCTATCATCAGTGAACTGAACAGTAGAACTCGCTCTGTCAATCACAAAGACTTTACCATTGAAGTATTTCCAAGAGCTTTCTGTACAGGTCATTTACACGTTTTGATTGCATCGTTCTTTCTTTGTTTGAAAAAAAGAAAGAAAGAGAGAAATAGAAAAAAGAGAAGTGAAAAGGTTGTTGAAGGATAGAAAAAAGAAAGAATAAGAAAACAAAGAGAGAGGGAGAGAGACAGTGACAGAGAAAGTGAGACACAGAGAGACAGAGACAAATTGACAGACAAAGAGAGACAAAGAGAAACAGAGACAGAGAGAGACAAAGAGAGACAGAGAGAAACAGAGACAGAGACATATATATATATATATATATATATATATATAGAGAGAGAGAGAGAGAGAGTTGCAAAAGATAATGAAAGAAGGAGAAAATAATTGTAGTGTTTTGGTTCGAAGTTAATGACAGGCTAAAACACTGACCGCCCATTGCCTGGGCCCTGGGATCATAAGAGGACACATTCTTTGATATAAGAAGTATATGCAGGAAAATAAATAAAGTTCTAAAATAGGTAAAAATAGCCAAGTCAAATAACAAGAATGAAGAAGACGAAAAGAAAAAATAGAAAATATGTAAACAAAAACATGAAAAGACATTTTAAATGTCGGGAAAAGATTTTTCACAAATAATTCGGACTTAAAAGACCATGTGTTGGCACAACATAATCTCCGGGGACTGTTTTTCATCATTTGAACTTGTTTTAACGTAAACGTAGTGAATATTGATAAAATTGTAGGTTAATTTCGCACAGGGCATAGGATATGGGAGCATATTTTAATATTAAAAATTGATGCATTTATATATATATATATATATATATATATATATGTGTGTGTGTGTGTGTGTGTGTGTGTGTGTGTGTGTGTTTATGTGTGTGTGTGTATGTTTGTGAATGTGCATATGTTCATTTCAACAGTTTTTATTGAATAATATTGATATATTATCTTTATTTTTATAATAATCCTTTCTAGTTCTCTAAGCAGTTTCTTGATATTAAGATGAAATTCATCAAGGAAGGCAGCGTAGAAGGAGGTGATCGAAAGTATTTGGATAGGGAAAAACTACGGCGCCTTTCTTGATGAATTTCAACTTACCATCAAGAAACTGAATAGAGAACTAGAAAGGATTATTATAAAAATAGACATAATATGTCTATATTATTCAAGGAAACATGTTCGAATATATATATCTAGCTCTCTCTCCCTCTATATATATATATATATATATATATATATATATATATATATATATATATATATATATATATATATATATATAGTACACAAGAGGAAAAACCAGTATCTGTCTATATTTCTGAGATGAGGTATTATGTAAATTATTTACAGTATTCGGACTATTGTCACCATCTTTTTCGCCATATTTATTACGTTTCGGACGTTGTACGCTCCGGCCTTCTTCAGGTGGTTGGAATGTCGAACTAAATCCTTTATTTCGCTCACTGGGGTAGACTGTTCTAGTTCCACATGCCATGTTTAATGGATGTCAGTTATCAGTTATCTGAAAGTTCTCCACGACCGTAACCGGGTATTGAACACACACTCTTTGGGAAAAATCTATAAACTGTGTCCAAACCTTATACCAACACTGAATTTTAATTCACCTTTCTGATTATTATTATTATTATTATCATCATCATCATTCGATTTCTGCTATGGACACACTACCTACCAAGTCTGCGGAAAGACCTAAGGCAGGTCGTGGTGTGTTGTTATGGCCACATTTCGGTGAAGTTGCTAGCGTTACATAGACAAAGTTCTCCTTAGTGTGTGTGCTGTACTTAATAAGACAATTTTCTGTATGTCTCTTAAGCTGGGGTTTCCAGGGATTCTTTCAATGTGTTGTTTTGTTCCATTTTTATAATTCCAAGTGCACCTATTACCACTGGTATTATTCTTGTTTTCAATTTCCACATTTTTTCTATTTCAATTTCCAGGTCTTTGTATTTTGATAGTTTTTCAAATTCCTTGGTTGCTATGTTTACAATCCGCTGGACAAGCCATATCAATTAGTAGGCAAGTTTTTTTTCTTTCTGGTTTTTGACAATAATGTCCGGCCTATTTGCTTCAATTTTTTCTGTCTGTGTGGATGGTATAATCCCATAGAATGGTGACATCTTCTATTTCTGTAACCGGCGCTGGCCGATGTTCATACCAGTGTTTGCTTACACATTTTCCAAAGTGTTTGCAAATTGTCCAGTGTAAGTATTGCCCCACTCTATCGTGACGATTTTTATATTCATTTGGGGCAAGTATAGAACATCCTGAGATTAGATGGTCTATTGTTTCTTGGTATTTGTCACAGAACCTGCATTTTGGATCCACATTATTATGTATGATATTTGCCTGAAAATTCCTAGTGAAAAGACTCTGGTCTTGCGCTGCAAGAATAAAGCCTTCAGTTTCAGACTTTAATCCAGATGCTCGTAACCATCGATGAGTATTAACTTTATCAACATTGGGTTTATTTGCACGTTCTGGATATTGGCCATGCAGAGGTTTGTCTTGCCAGCGTTGTTTCATCTGTTCAAGGGCTTTATCCTTGGCTTTCTTTTTTTCATATCTTTTGCTGCAATAGTTGGTTCTTGGCTTCTGTTTTGATTTACTACAGAATCTACTAAATGTAAATGTTGTTTGTATTTACTGCCTTCTTTTATTATTGAATATTTTTTTTTTCTGTTTTCATGTTGTTTCACTAATTTTATCATCCAGTCATTTGTTGTTTCCATGTAAGTTAGTAAGCCAATAGTTGTTGTCTTGTATGACAATTCTAGCTGAATAAGACCTCTTCCACCTTCTTTACGGGGTATGTATAGACGGTCTACATCAGCCTTTGGATGATGCATCTTATACTTAGAAAGAAGCTTTCTTGTTTTAGAATCCATTTGTCTGATGTCATTTAGAGTCCAGTTCAAGATGTTGAAACTATATTGGACCACTGGGATGGCAAGGTTATTAATGGCCATAATTCTGTTCTGAGAATTCAATTCAGTTTTTAATACCAGTCGTACCCTTCTATAGTACTCTTTACGCACTATTTCTTTCATTTTCTTATGGTGAATTCCTTCACTCTCATTTACACCATTATTATTATTATTATTATTATTATTATTATTATTATTATTATTTACCACGTCTCATCCTTGAATTTAAGTGTTCATTACACTGGTGATCACATGACAACAGTTCATTCCAATACACGTCACTAGTCTCACTAAACACACACACATACATATATATATATATGTATACATACACATATATATATATATATATATATAGTTAAATTTCCCAGAATAATTCGGAAAGTAAACAAATTGGTTTAAAAATGAAAATTGAAAAAAATTCTTAGTAGTTGCCGACGCGTTTCGTTTTCTGACTTCATCAAAACAAACAATGAAAGTGAAGAGAAAATGAAAGCATATATATATATATATATATATATATATATATATATATATATATATATATATATATATATATATATATATCTGTGTGTGTGTGTGTGAAAAGTGTATATATATATAAATAAACGAAATTTCTCCCACCACTTCCACAATAACAACAATACACACAATCTACATAAACCCAAATTTTTTAAAAAAATCTGACGATCGCTAAAGCGTGAAACCCAGGGTCACAAACTCACATCTATTCAACCAAATATATATATATATATATATATATAAAGGATATGAATGCTGACCGGAACACTACCGTGATTTCGCCCACTAAGGTTTCGTTACGTGGTTTGTTCAGTGAATCAATCAAATGGAGCTAAAAACTTAAGTACTTTCGTACGAAACCGGAAGTGGTGGTCAGAGTTATGGCGAAAAAATAATTTCCAACTTTTACCGGCTCAAATAACCCCAAACATAACTTCTTAACATGTCTACACTTTGTCATGATCTCTGACCACTCGTTCTGTATTCAGTGCTATCTTTATACGTTTCTATAGACAGTTTCTCTTCTTGGCATAGCCTACACGTATTACCGATCATTATCTTAACTTTTAGATTCCGCAAGATACTGCATCTAATGGCTAGGCTTTTGTTATGCTTCTCCTTAACGTTCCAATAGTAGCTTGACAGTTTCTTATTGAACCTACGTTGTACCACTTCTTCTTGAACTGGATATAAGTGAAACCGATGTATTTTTTGTACTACTTTGAATCCGGATAAAGTTGAAAATTATTTTTAGTTTTTTGCTACAACTCTTCCAACACTTCCGGTTTCGAACGAAAGTACTTAAGTTGTTGAGTTGAACAAAACACCTGAGGGGACCGTAGTGGTCGAAACCGCGGTAGTGTTCTGGTCAGCATTCATATACTTGTAAAATATAAAACAGCTCTGCAAGTCTGGTTTTTCGAACTTGATATTGAGAACTTTTAATGCATACGATTTAAACAAATATTTACTGTTTGTTTACTCTGTCGACTATATATATATATATATATATATATATATATATATATATATATATATATATATATGAAAAAATATCTGGAAAAACAAAACAAAATCCTTAAAATGCGATTATGTTGTTTTAATATGAATGAAATGTTGACGTCTGACGTTTCGGTTTAATAAACTTCTCAGGACAATATTCATTAAAAATACAATTAACATAATCAATATAACGACGAAAACGATGGACATAAAAACAAGTCTTATCCAAAACAGATAATGAAAATTTTTAAATGATCAGCTTTCCGTTTGAGCGTGGTCACGTTGTCGTCAAATGGGCGACGCTTTAAAACGTATTCACGCTCAAACGGAAAGCTGATCATTTAAAATTTTCATTTATCTGTTTTGGATAAGACTTTTTATGTCCATCGTTTTTTGTCGTGTTATATTGATTATGTTAATTGTATTTTAATGAATATTTCCTGAAGAAGGTTATTAAACCGAAAACGTCAGACGTCGACATTTCATTCATAATTAAACAACATAATCGCATTTTAAGGATTTTGTTTTGTTTTTCCAGATATTTTCTTCATTCTGTCGGATTTATATCCATTTATATTTGCTTATCATATATATATATATATATATATATATATATATAGATAGATAGATAGATAGATAGATAGATAATTTTCTTGCACGAGTGTCTGGAAACATTCCAAGTGCTCCTGCGATTATGAGCATTCCTTTCATTTTTATGCTCTCAACTGAAATGGCAACATCAATACTTTGGCTTTTAATCTTTAATTGATTCTTTTTTGTCCAACATAGTTTCTAAAAGTCTGCCTATTTGCCTCTTCAGCTTCATTCTAAAAAAAGCAAATAAAAAATAAAACAACTTTTTTTCCGATCTCCCGCAGCTGTTCAATGTTTCAAAACCATTCCAAATCTGAATCAGAGTATGGCTAAAAGAAACAATAACATGGCAATGACATCACACACCTTCCTTAAACCACGCTGGTACTATTGGTCTAGTTGAGTATTTTTGAAGAGGACTAAAGAGCCATTGCCTTAGGCTGGTTATTTTTTCATTCATATTTAAGAATTATGTCATCTCTGGATAAACTGGGCCCAATTTGTACTCAAGCTGTTAAAATAAGCACGGTATTAAGGAGAAATCTCATTGATTTTGGACCCAGTGTAAGTGGTATTCAACATTTTCCAATATCGGAAGACTGATAATTAAACACAAACTTTGTATTAACTTAAGCAGATCGAATGAACTTGATTTTATGAGCTGTACGATCTTATTGCAACGTAAACTTTCTAAATCAATGAAAATATTTCTGGTAAAAATATATTCTTAAATAAAAGGAGCAAAACAAAATATACTACTACTCAAATATAAAAAGGGCGTGCTGAACAATTGTGTGTTCAGGTAGTCATTAGAGAGTGGTTTGTCCAATTTCTCATGCACTATTCTCTCTGGGCGATCATGACATACCAGTAACTTTAAATGCAAGATCAAAAGGATTCAGTGTTTATGCTTCATACAAAGCCTCGGCCAGAGTTCGAACTTTTGTTGCATTATAACCTTCTTGCCACTTCTCTATTACTACTACTAAACTCATACATTATGACTATTCGGGAATGTATCATTAAATCTGACGCGATCTAAGAGATTGAATTTTGATCTGAAATGTTCACGGTATAAGGTTTCTTTTATGTGATTAATGTAATTAATATTAATATTTGATTTAAGTGCATTGACAAAGAAAGATATTACGTTTTCCAGTGAAGAATAAATGTTTTTTCATCAGTGGATTTATCGATATGCTTAAATAAAATGCTCCTAAAATAATTATAATAGCGATCCTGCTCCCCTCCCCCGAGGCCAATGGACTCAAGATGATGATAAGTTGTTTTCTCTACTGGTGACATAGGTATATATAGTTTGGATAAGAATGATCTTGTTCAGAAAATCATCATCCTATACCAAGTGTTCAAAGAAATAGGACTTAATACTTTCCAAAACAGAAACTGTGAAGTGGAATTGGAACGAAAAAAAAAAGTTGGCGCCTAAACCTGAATCATTCCTAAACATGTGGATTCAAAAACCAAATATTTCAAATAAATCGGTGTATGGATCGGTTTTAACAAATGTAGTATAGGAAATAGAAAAATTGAACATAGAATGTGCTGCGCCAGAGCTAGTTTCGCCCAACACAGCAAATTGCTACTAGACCAAAACATCAACCTGAAAACTCGAGTCACCTTCTTAAAGAGCCTCTCTAGATATTCACCTTGATGCCATGCATGGTACCAAAGTCGTTCAGAAATATCTAAACTATCTCCTGTATACAACCGCTTCCTCAGATCAATGATTAAAAATGGCTTAGAGCGAGTGAAGTCTGTGGGTTTTGGTGAAACCCATCCTTCTTCGAACCTTATGGATTGGCGCTACAGAATCGCAAAGAATTATACAAAATAACAGAAACCACAACACTTGAGGACTTTCTACCACAACGACGGAAATTTATATCACATGTAACTCGAAGAAAATTAATGACATCATCAAGATGTTAATGTTTCACACTACTTGAAAAAAGGCTTAGGAAGGAATAATGGAAAGATCGATAACAGCTACTGGACGTGAGAAACCTTTTTTCCTGAAAATAGAGAAATATCTTATAAATTTCAATCAAAAGCAGCTTTCGCTGTTTAGACAATGAATGCCGAATGTTTCCTTATAAGGAGACGGCTAATATTAAAATGACATTTACCATTAATTAAAATACTTATAGAATATTTATTATAATGAAAATTATTAAGGTGATGAAACAATCGCAGTGATTTTTGTAAAACTTTTCATTGATATAAATTCATAGCTTTATTATTCAATCATCAAGATATATTCATTGATTCTTTGTAAGCTTATTCTAACTTTCACGTAAATTGAGTACGTCAGTGTAAAAGAACGATTTCTGGATATAATAGAAGGAATCTTTTGATATCTTGAAAATTTTGTAAAATGATAACCGGAAATGGGGAGTTACATGAAGCGAAACAAATGACACTCAAATGTGTCAATAAAATGATCCAATTAATCAATGCAATATGCTACAGAAAGTAAAATAATAAAATTGTGTATATTAAGTGTTGTCCGAAATTAACTCGACTGTAGAACATATCACCCGTTTTGTCCCACTGTCATCTTCTATATTTCAAGCAACTTCAGATAATTTCATATTTACTTTATTTGTTTCATCATTCACGGAATTTTGTTGCAGTCTTCCAGAGAACTGAAAATGTCTTTTCATGAGGAAATTTTCTTTAAAAACCTGAATAAATGGCAATCCAAGATTGTAATATGTGCTGAAGGGATGAAAACGTCTCTTTCAAGCTGTAACAATTTTTAGTTTGTCACCAAAGGAACATGTGAATATCACGACTGGATATTATGTATTTTTGATTACTAATTCCGAAAGTTTTTGTCAGCTGCGGCCTTCAGATCTGTACTTGTTCGAATTGGTCACTTTATTCTTGAGAAGAACAGAATTAGATGATTCCCTTCTAATGCCACCAGGTATACACCATAATATTCTTTGGATGAAAACCGCCCTTTGGTACATTTTGTGGTGGTTCATTTTGCTTGCTCCCGTTCACTTGATTTCCAATGTTGTCGTAAATTATGTACATTTCATCGTTAGTTACATATTTTTATAATTGCACAATATTTCGTTATGTGAACATCACAGATAAAATCGACTAGCATAGTGAAATAGGTGAAAATGATTTTCAGCGCTTGATTTGGGTCTTTTGTAGCTAGTGTTTGTCTTAATCGACGTGAGCCAGATCTGTCCAAATTCCCTGGTGGTTTTCCCGAGTTCAAAGTAAACATCTAAAAGAGATTGTGATAATAACAACAAAGATGAGGACAATATTTCTATTGTAAATGATAATAACTCTTCATCTCAGACAGAAAATTGTGCCAAAATTTTGGATATTTTTTTGAACAACGCCAACCTTTCTCTACTGTCATGTTGTTTGGTTAATAAGAAAAGAACGAAATAAATAGCAAAGACTTTTGAAATTTCATGAACGAAAGCGAAATACTCTTACCCACATGTGGCATTGTGTCAAGTTTATTCTCAGGTAAAAGAGATGAATCTTTCAAGCAACAATGAAAATTGAATTCGTCGGCAAGGGAGGGAAAAGCCATGAAAATCTTTCGGAGTCACAAATTAAAATTAGCAAATTTAAACTTATACTTGGGAGGTAAGTCTTTTACTTATAAAATTTGTGCCCCTTAACCTGTGTAGGTAAATAATTTGGATGTGCGTATGACGAAGCGATTTTATTTATTTATTTGTTTGTGATCATTTGTTTGGAGAAGTTGGTCAGTCAATGAGTGCGACCACTGACTGACCTCACGCGACAAGGGGAAGAAAATGTCCAATCAATCTATCATTATTAGGTTTAAAACGGGTGGCGAGTGGGTGGAAAGAAAGAATCGGGGTGGATGTGTGACACAGCCGGGGAGTAAACAATTATGCGGCATTAATAAGTAGATAGTTTGGAACAAAAGAGAAAAAAGTAGACATATTGGTACGCTTGTGCACCGCGGCTTATTTTCTCGCGACCCGAGTAAAAGTAGTCGGGGTCATTCTGCAGGGTGGGCGGAAGAGAGAGAGAGAGAGAGAGAGAGAGAGAGAGAGAGAGAGAGAGAGAGAGTCATAATGAAATAGAGAACACGTCATCGGGTACGAAACATCAAAGTTATATATAATCATCATTTTTTTTTATGTAGTTTTTGCTTTTTGTCTCCGAAGAAACAGACGCGGATCTTACGACTCTGACATTTTTCTTATTTTTTGAACAAAAGAACTCCACATTAAAGTTACAATGAACAAACGCTGAAAAATACAGACTTCTAGTTATGGGTATTTACAGATTTAATTCCTAGTGTCGATTAGTAACACTCTTCAGTAAACGTTCACTGAATAGAACGAAACATGGTGTTAAACAGATTTCGCGTGCTGCAGCGGTCTGTCGAATACTTCTAAAATCCTGCCTTTTTAGATTTTTAGTCATTTCAGTCCCAATAAAGCCACTAAAATGCAAGTTGTTACTGAGTGAGAGTGATCATGAGTAAAAACGCTATTTAGGAAAGAGAACAATAAAAGAACAGAAATCAAGAAGACAGATGATAATGTTTAGCATTGCATTTAGATTTTTGAAAATCAAAATTGAGAAGCAAGAAGACGGAAGAGAGTTCCAAAAGCGAAATGTGTGAGAGAATAAATTCTTAGTATAAAACTTACGGTTACATCTAGCCATTTAGACTGTAAAATAATGAGACCTTACAGCCAATCTAGTAATACGCTTAACTTCATAAAATCTAGGTACCAAAGAATATTTACCATAAGATTATTCATAAAAAAACCACGGGCAAGTGACTGAAGCCGAGATTCCAAGTCAGGACCGATAACAAAGCAAATTCGTCTTTGTATTTTATCAAAAATCTCTAAATACATAGCAGAAGCACCAGACCAGGTGTGGCAGCAATAGTCAATGCATGGGAAATGGTAGACTTATAAATGTGTAAGATTCTGACGAGAAAAAATGTCTAGTAAGACACTCTGAACCAACATTCCTAGCCGAAGATCTAGCAATTGATTCAATATAAAAATTTTACTTCGTGCCAGCAGAAAACGTAAGCAAGAGAAGGTGTAATGAGTCACTCTCCTGAAGGTTAACATCAGCCGTACTCATGGGAAGTAAAAAAAAAAATTCTCTCAGACGATTAAAAGGGAACAGTTTCGTTTTTGAGACGTTAAAATTAACAAGACATTCCTTGCTCCAGTTAACAAAAGACTGTAGGTCATTTTTAGATCATCTGCCAATTTGACTTCATTGATCAGATTTAGACAGGAAAAAATAGTTGTGACATCAGCATATATAGCGAGTTGAGAACTGATGACTTTTGGGAAGGTAGGTGATGAAAGTTAGGAATAAGTTAGGTCTAAAGATAAAGCCCCGGGGAACACCTGCATTAATACAATAAAGATCTAGAAGTGTACCTGTTTAAAGCAAATTACATTTCGCGATTTGATAAGAAAGAATGAATCAGTTCGCATATTTGTTTAGAAACACCCTAACCTTTGAACGAAAGACGACCAGCATGCTAAACCCTGTCAAATGCCTTCAAGATAAAAAGAAACAGCCCAAGCTTCGCCTTTCTTATCTAAAGCTTGATAGACTCCTTCAGCAATAAAATTGTTAATACATCAGAAGTTGACCTAGAAAAGCGAAAGCCATATTGCTAATCGGTGAGATGCTTTACCAATCCAGAGTTGATTTGAAAATCTAGTAATTTGCCAAAAAGAGGTAGAAGGTTAATAATAAGAAGGCTCAGACCTTTTCGTCTGAATTCTTAAAAACTCGAACGATAAAAGATGATTTCCAACAAACAGGAAAACAGCAATGCATTTATTGTAGAGTTTAGAGTGAACAGGAGATAATTCAGGAGCAAATTTCAGTTGCAGGGATACCATGAATTCCGCATGTTTTGTGGGGAACCAGAAACCATTGGACGAGTTCTATGCATATCACTCAATAGATACTCAATTCTGAGGGGAAAGTCAAAGATACTCCAGATAAGCCAAGAGTAGAATTTGAACAGAATTTACGTGCAAAACATTCTACTTTTTCAGCAGATGTTAACACATCAAATTGAGTGAAGAGGGGAGAGATAGAAGACTTACTCTTATTTAGCACACTATCACAAAGCTCTGAGTATTAACAAGAGTCAAACTTGTTGTAGGTTATATATATTCAAATATAAATAAAACATTCTTTTACAGATAGGACTTGTATCTCTGACATTTCTTTCTTATTCCATTTGTAAAGTGTAATTTCCAGTTAGATTTTTTGCCGACAACTGAGGCTTTGTAAAACACACTCCTTCCTGGATGCTTTCATGAACAATAAATTTCTTCAAGCCAAAGGTCAATCGCTATCTATCCTCCTTATCCTTCTACCTCCTTTTATATTCATATCACCCCCTTTTTCATAAAATAATCTTCTAACATAAATGGCTCTTTTGCCTTGTGTTTAGGGAACTTGAGGGTAAAAATATTGAATGCGAAGTTCTACTATCGAAGGCAATTCACTAAAAGTGAAAGTAATTAAAACATTTCGATTTTTTGTGAAAAAAAAAACCCCAAAAAAAAACGTAGAGGCGAAAATAAGCTGAAAAATTAGACAAAATTTAATAAAATTCGTTTAACACAAAGGGGTAATTTTGTAATTGCCAGCACTTGAGTTATTATTTTCGTTTTTGCACCAGATAATTTTCGGGTCATTGCCAAAAAATCAAGTGATAACAAGTCCCTGTAATCTCACCAATTTTAAGTTTTTAGCAGTGTCTAATTTTTCCGAATCTTACAAAGATACCTGGGATTGTCCCAATTTTTATCACACCCTTAAATTTCACGTTTCCTTATTTTTGCAACAATCGTGTCAGCTCCCATTATATATCTATTTTCGATTTCTCTTTCATTCCAATCTTGTAGAGTCCCCTTTCACAAATTTTCTATTTTAGTTAACAACAACTACATTTTTAGCTGATAATAAATCGGTGTATATCGATCTGGGTAACCTACAGGAAGTTCTATACAGAACCCTTTATTTAATATATGGATGTAGACTGTTCTCGTCTCATTTCCATATTTAGGGATATCGTAAGGTTTTTATCTTTAGTACTGTTTATTTCTTGCTCGACCGTTTCCATTGCATCAAAATGATACATTGATTGGACTCGCAATTACTATGTGACCAAATTCAGGAACCAATGCTTTAGTCCACTTGGTTATTCCCGTGGCGCAATTCTATATAGTGAACTTGGAGCCTTAAACATAAACTAACTGCTGATTTATTCCGTAACTACTGCTGCTGCTGCCTGTCGTGATATTTTGACTGCTGCCTGTGATGGTTTTGACTCGCCAGATTTTTCATCGTAATGTTGAGTTACTTTTAGATATTTTGTCCTGATATTTTGTATTGACCTCAGAAATTATTTCTCGATCTTTTGTGACATGATTCAATATAACATGAAAGTTATCCGATCTCTCTCAACCTTTCTATCTCTGCAAAATCTTATGTCTGTAGGTGAGTTGTTATTCTGAAGAGTACTTTTTATCAGGGTCACCACTTTTTGTACAATACTGTTGACATCGGACGATCTCTTTCTTTATGCTGCATAGCAATTAAATATTATGATAGTGTCCGCTGAAGCTTGATTTGTGATATATGGACATCTTGGACCTATTTTCTGTGCGAGTTTTCTGTACTGTGAGGAATTCCGGTTAATCTTTGGTTTCTTCTTCTCTTATGAACTGGATCAAATGTCCTGTCGGGTTCACATTGCTCAGTCGTATTTGCACATATCCCTGTTGAAACCAGAGTATGAATGTGTCATCTACAGATCTCAGTCATACTGTTAGCTTGTAGTAGTGTTTCTAAAGTCATTTGCTCCAAAATACCAAGTCTATGTTCAATATCACTGGTGATGCTGGCGGACCAATAGGCAAGAGACTTACACCTGCTGCCATATGCCAGATCAAGTTTGGAAATAATGATTTCTGTACACAAAATGTCAATATTTCAAATAGTTTGTTTATTGGGATGCTAGTAAATTCCTCAAGACACGGATCTGATTCTAATTTTTTAATACCACCGACAGAGACTCATCTGTAGGAATTCTTGTAAACAGACCCACTCTGTCTGAATCTACCATACACGATTGTTATGGATCTGATCTCATCGAATTGATTCAACGAAGTGGTATACATTCTTAATGTATGACGACGAATTTTCTGTTATTGGGTTGACCATATCTACCAGGAATCTGCTCAGCGGGTGGCATGTCACGGTTCCTCAGCTGACATAATGTCTCAACAAAATATCAAGTTTATGAATTTCGAGTAAAACGTACTTATGTGGCAGCGTAGTGTAACGTTAAATCAGCTGTCTACACTTATTCGTTGTGAAGTAGTTCTTGTTCATATTAAATCTGTGACAGCTTCCTCTAAACTTTTAGGGTCAGATCCTTGTTCACCTTGTTGTAGATATCATTCTACCTAAGGCTTGCAATTTTCTCGGAGTATTCAAAATTGTTCATCACCACTGTGGTGTTGCCTTTGTCTTTGTTTGCATAGTAATGGAAACTTCAGTTATCGAGTTTCCGATTCAGTGGACTAACAATCATTGTAAGCAGTACCAAACAAAAAACTAGATTGATATGAAACAAAATAAAAATGTTATGGGAAACGAAATAATTTTAGGTGAAAGGACAAGAGCTGTAAAATGAGTTTCTGTTCATTGTAAAAATATATGGATGAGAGAGTTGCTGAGAACAGGTACAGAAAGGAGAGAGGATAGTAAAAGAAAGTGAGAAGAAAGGACTAACTATCAACTGTAAGAAGAAAGAATGTATGGTTGTCAGCAAGAGGAACAACCCAGGAGGTGAACTACAAATTGAAGATACTAAAATAAGGCAAATATAATAATTTAAATATTTGGAAGATGTTTAACAGTGGACGGGAAATTGTGACACCGAAATCCGAAGACGCATTGGGATTGACATTGGAAAGATGTCTTTCGAAAAGTAAGCAAAATATTAAGAAGCAGGAAAATCTCGTTCGTAGGAAAAAAGAAAAGAGTGTTGACCTGCTATGTAATATAGGTCCTATTATAT